TTGTGTTCCCAGATCCCTGGTCCACCACTGAGTTCTGTGGTTCCCAGATCCATGGTCCACCACTGAGTAATGTGGTTCACAGATCCATGGTCCACCACTGAGTTCTGTGGTTCACAGATCCATGGTCCACCACTGAGTGCTTGGGTTCCTTCTGCTGTTCCCTATAATAGTGACGTAGCAGCCATTGGACTGAACCACAGCACACAAGGAACACAAACCTCAAACAGTGCCAGATGTTTTGCACATGAGGTTTCTTAGGGAGTCAGTAGCTCTCCAACAGAGCAAAGATTCCAGGAGGGAAAGGCAAGTATATAGTACAAATATATGAATATGTAATTATATAATGCATGGAAATTATTTGCTTTTTTTTCAGGTGACAGAGTTGATTAATGTCATGCCAAGTGGAGATGGTAATTTATATATCTGCCAGCCACTGCAGAGAAATGGATGAAGAGCTGATCAGAAAGCTAGGTGACATGAATGGTTAAGCAATACAGCCAAGCGAGGTATATCAAGCATGTGGCAGGAGGGTGAAGTTCGGAATGTTTTGGGGCACAGATACCGGAGTCATGGAGTGTTATAACATGCTAGCTGGTGGTCAAACCCACCTGAGTTGATCCAAGTAATCAGATTTAATTTGGACTCATAACACAATCCCTTGTTTAAATCCTAGTGCAAGTGACTCGATTTCCATATACATATAATTAAAAGAAGAAGCTAAATATGCATATATATGAGATGCTAGCTACATAGATTTTAACATCTTGCTATATGATAGAAATCTAATTGTTATACACAGCTTGTTATTAATACTCAGCTGTGCACAGGCACAACCAGGGAAATTCTTAGTAAATTATATCTAAAATATACAAAAGAAACAAACAAACAAAAAAAAAAAGTCGACTTCCCTTTCCAGGAATAGGAAAAATAACAGCTAGCGATTATCCAAGGCTATTCATTTGGACCTCCGATAGACTATATTACAGATTATCAGAAAAGATATTTATAATATATATCACCATATTTATAGCATAAACATTTAAAAAAATGACAATAGAAGTATTTAATAAAAGTCTGATACACAATTCCCTCTCTTTACACAGAAGTTCAGTAGTATTTCAAGCAAACCCAGTTTAAAACAAAAACAAAACAAAAAAAAGGCTTGCCGCTCCAGCCCATAAGAAGTAAGGCCTCGTATTGTATTGGCAGAGCGCAGAAACAAAGGAAACCGCAGATGTGTCTTATTGTGAACAGGTAATGAAGCCCTGTGTCATGTTCATCCTTCTGTTTACATAGGTGGAACAGACTGAATATGTGAAGAGGACGTCTGTCTCATGTCAGCTGTACGGCTTTCTTCAATTTATCGATCTCGCTCTGATGGAGAGAGGAAAAGGAGAGTTATTCTGAGTAGACGCTACAAAGAATGATGGATTCTGGAGAAGGAAAGTGATTGTGATTGGTGACTGTATTTCCCCTGTTGTAATGTGATCAGAGCACAGTGGTAGTGCAAGCAGCATGCATGCAGAACCAACAACAGCCTAAGGCCTTGTTCACACCAATTCCGCTTCTAAATGCTAATTTGAAGGGTTGTGTGTACAGACAAACATACAATGTACATGACAAATGCACAAAAACTTAAACATTTGTAATATTTTTTACATAAAATGATTGATTCTTTTTAATACAATAATTGCAACAAATAAGTACAGTATTAAACAGAGGCACACTGCTATCTTCAGGTTGCAGAGGCATTTGCAAAAGCCATCCACAGACTGAAGACGCATTTTGCACTTTTACTGTCTAATTTGAGAAACCCCCAATATAGGTTTGTTATGAGTTCCCATTCAAACAATAATAATAAAAAAAAATCTTAACCTTCTAGTTGTTTGTTTGATGCCGGATTATATATAGAAATCGTAGGCAGCTTTTATAGTTGAGAACAGCTTGTAATGTGCAATTAGGTGACAGACAGTGGGACAGGTTTTTTTTGCATGCAATAAAACACAATGTACCGCCCAAGCCTCTGTTAGTACACAGTCCTGCACATCATGTGATTACCATCTTAAAAGTTATCACGTGAGCAGGAACCACTCTAACGACAACCCCAATTCCAAAAAAGCTGGGACTGTGAAAAATATGCATGAAGACAGAATGCAATCATCTGCAAATCTGATACTCAGATTTGATTCACAGAAGAAAATAGAAAACATATCAAATGTTTAAACTGAGAAAACGAAACATTTTAAGAAAAACAAATCAGGTCATTTTGAAATTGATGGCAACACCACATCTCAAAAAAGTTGGGACAGGGCAACAAAAATCTGGCAGAGTAAGAGGTACTAACAAGGAGGAGCTGGAAGAACATTTGGCAGCAATGTTACGTGAATTGGTAACAGGTCAGTAACATGATTGGGCATAAAAAGAGCCTCTTAGTGAGTAGAAGTGTCTCAGAAGTATAGACAGGCCGAGGTTCACCAATCTGTGAAAAGCTGCGTCTAGAAATTGTTGAATAATTTCAGAATAATGTTTCTCGATGTAAAATCACAAAGACTTTAAATATCTCATCATCTCCAGCACATAATATCATCAAAACATTCCCAGGACCTGGAGAAATCGCTGTGCACAAGGGACAAGGCTGAAACACAATATTGGATATCGTGATCTTCAGGCCCTCCGATGGCACTGCAAAAAAAGCAGGCCTGATTCTGTGATGGACATCACTGCATGGGCTCAGCAATACTGTCTGTGAACACAGCTCGCTGTGCCACCCAAAAATGCCAGTTAAAGGTCTATCATTTAACGAAGAAGCCAAATCTGAACATGATCCAGAAACGCCGCCATCTTCTCTGGGCCTTAATAAGTCCTGTCGTAAAGTGGAAAAAAATGCTCTGTGGTCGGACGAATCGAAATGATGTTTTTGGCAACCACGGGCACTGCATCCTTTGGACTAAACAGGGGAGGGACATTCTGGCTTATCAGCGCTCAGTTCAAAAACCTGCATCTCTGATGGTATGGGGGGGTGGGGGGGCATTAGTGTGTATGGAATGGGCAGCTTGCACATCTGGAAAGGTGCCATCAATGCTGAAAATATCTTTATATCATCCAGGTTTTAGAGCTACATATGCTCCCATCCAGACAACGACTTTTTCAGGGAAGGCCTTTCATATTTCAGCAGGACAATGCTAAACCGCATACTGCATCCATGACAACAGCATGGCTTCGTAGTAGAAGAGTCCGGGTGCTTACCTAGCCCGCCTGCAGTCCAGACCTTTCACTAATTGAAGATATTTGCCGCATCTTGAAACGAAAAATACAACAAAAACGACCCAGGACTGTTGAGCATTTAGAAAACGATATCAGGCCAGAATGGGACAACATTCCTCTCCCAAAACTCCAGCAACTGGTCTCCTCAGTTCCCAGATGTTTACAGAGTTATTAAAAGAAGAGGGGGTGCTACACCGAGGTACACATGGCCCTGTCCCAACTTTTTTGAGACGTGTTGCTGCCATCAATTTAAAAGTTACTTTATTTTTTTCTTCTTAAAATTTTCAATTTTCTCAGTTTAAACATTTGATACATTTTCTAATGCGAATAAAATATGAGTTTGAGATTTACAAATCATTGCATTCTGTCTTTTTACACAGCGTCCCAACATTCTTGGAATTCTTAACCGGTAGTAGGGACCAAAATTGTTTGTAAAAGCGTGCTGTACACAATAGGGCTGCAACTAACTAATCGATAATGAGAATAGTTGTCAACGATTTTCATTATCGATTAGTTGGTTGGATCCGCTAGCTCTCTTCTCCACGCTGGGAGGAAGCACAGCAAGCAGTGGGCGGGTGCAATAGCCAGCCTGCTATTGCTATTTGAAATGGCCAATAGCAGCCTGGCTATTGCTCCCACCCACTACTTGTTGTATTTACGTGCGGCTGTCGTCTGCAGAATCCTGCCATGGCAGCCGTCATGCCCTGGCTGAAGCTATTCAAGCTCCATGTGCTTACCATACATAAAAAAAAATTATATATAAATAAAAATAAAAAGGTGGTTTTGGACCGACAAATTCTGCTGTGGGAGTTGCTATTCATTTCAATGGCGACCCAAACGCGCCTCCCACCCCACAGTGCGATCGCCCGCACTGGAACGCTGATGTTCTTCCACTCAAAGGAAGAACAGGGTACCAAGCTCACGGTTGCTGCTCGTTTTAAATCACCTGATGTCCATGACACCTATAAACATCAGATTCAGAGATGGGACAAAGCCCCATTTGTATTACAGAATGCAGCGTGTTTTGGGGTCCCCGGGCCCTCTGGAGGCACATGCCAGCATGTCAGGGTGCCAGTTATACAAGTGTTCTGGTGGTTTAGCAGTGACAACATTGATACTGGTTCATGATTGGTGAACATTTCCTTGTTGTGTATTTAGATCACTTACCTCTAAACTGGATCGTAGTGTTTTCTCCTCTTCCAAGTCTTTCTTTAATTTGTCTATTTCTTTCCTGGAGAATTGGAAAACATTACAAGTGTGAGCAGCAAGAAAGCGGAGCTTTACCCCCTTATCACCAGCAGCACGCAGCTCTGCGCGCTGATATGAAATCATCTCACATTCATTAAGCATATTTGTATCTTTATTTGGTTTGGGGCAGAGTTGCGCATGGCTTTGTATGATGTTAGGATTTTGAATTTTCTTTGTTGGGCAAGCTGGAGCCAGATGAGTGATTGGCAGAGAGGGGCGGCAGACACTGAATGGTTGGTGTGATGGAGGAGTCTGGCAGCAGCATTCATGATAGGGGGGATAGCCTGTGTAGTGGTAGGCCAGCATGGAGGGAGGTACAGTAGTCAAGACAAGAGAATACAAGGGAGTGAATCAGAAGCTCTGTGGTGCTGATTATATAACAGCATATTACTCAGGAGGTGAGCTGGTTAAACATTATTTGTTCACTGAGTAATGTGCTTCAAGCCTCTGAATGCAGATTGCTGATCCTGAAATAAAATGTGGTATGTGACCATGACCCTCTGCTCCCCGCACACATATAAGTGACATGCTGGATGACATACCTATGTTCTTTCCTAAGTGCATCCACAAGAGTGAGCAGCTCGCCCAGCTGGGCTCTTATCTCCTCCACTTCGCTCTTCTTCCCATCATTTACATCAAGCTTTGTTTTATTGTGCACTAGAATGGGGCTCATTGGGGTGGTGCTGGGTTTTGACACAGTCGGTGTGGGTGTAAATATAGAGGCCGAGGATGTGGTTACAGATGGCTGAAACAACAAAAGGAAATACATCATTATCATAAGTCATCATTACCAAAGAGTTAAACATGTTCTAGTCAAGAAACACAGGACAACGGACATGTAAACTAGAAGCTGAATGAATGATGAACTGTATATCACACATCTCTCTCATGAGAAGCTGCAAACCTTGTCCTTAATAGCTGAACTTCATATAGATTCAAAATACACAAATGATTTAATCATTAAATGTCGGTTTTTTTATTCAAGTGGTGTAAATACTTTGTGATATTAAAGCCTACTTTTTTAATTTCTCCTTTGAGGAGACCCTCCTTTGCTGTAGGCGGTTTCTTTTTCTTTAAAAGTTTCTAATTCCTCCTTTTCTAGTGGCTCCCCGCAGCGCTCTTCCCCCCACCCCCTGCACGGGTGCCACCATCGTTCTAGTGGAGGACACTGTGCCCGCTCTTGCCCGTAGTGGCTGTGCGCACCCATAGACACACACAGCCCCTTGGCAGGCCACGCCCCTTCCCTCTTTAATTGATGGCAGAAGGAGCCTATGGCACCTCTGCCATCAGTATCCTTCCCCCGCAACCCGGAAGTTCGGGGAACGGAGGATCGCTTCGGACCGGCGGCGGGGACAAGCGTAGCTGACATCCGCGGTGTTAAACCCCCTTCCCATCCAGGCCATTTTTCAGTATTCAGCGCTGCGGTACTTTGACTGACATTTATTCCGTCATGCAGCGCTGTACTGAAATGAATTTTATACCCTTTTTTGGGGACAGATAGAGCTTTCTTTTGGTGGTATTTATTCACCACTGGGGGTTTTATTTTTTTACTATATTAAGGAAAAATCACCGAAATTTAAATAAAAAAAAACAAAACAGTTTCCCCTATATTAAATGATAAAACATTTATTATTACCCAATTTTTTGGTAAAATATAAAAGATGGGGTCACGTCGGGTAAAAAGACACTAAACATGTCAAGCCTTAAAATTGCGTGCGCGCGCGAAACCTCAAAAAACGATAATACCCAAAATTGGCCATAGGCGACGCTTTAAAAGCTGTTACCGCTCATCAGTTTAGTGTTATCAGTGATTGATGGCCCTAAAATGATTGCTCTCACTGCGACGTTCGCGGCGATATGTAACATGTGTAGCGCAATTGTAATTTTTGCGCGCTGGGGCACCGGACGCGTATTTACGTTTATAGGCGCGTAAACGTGGGGGTGGGGGAGTTAAACATTTTGGGGGGTTTTTTTCCCCTTTTTTTATATGTGACTTTTATTTTATTTTACTTTTTTATGTGTTACTTTTATTTTTTTTTATTTATATTTATTTTTTTGCACTTATTGTTATTGCTATTATATAGGGGGATAACAATCCCCCTATATAATAGCAAAGGCACACTGACAGGTCCTCTTTATGGAGACATTAGGGGTCTCTAGGACCCCTAATGTCACCTGTGGACCCCAAAAGAAGCTGATGAAGCAGAGATCTGCTTCATCAGCTTCTTCTCTCTGGCTATAGCAGCCAGATGACTGACAGGTGAATGCGGAAGTGATGTAATACACATCACTTCTGCATTCACAGCCCGGACGGAGATCAGCAAGGAGCTGATCTCCCGTCCTCCTCCTCCTGACGCCCTCCGAGCCGGTCCCGGGATCCAAGATGGGCAGCGGATCCCGGGATTCAAGATGAGGGGTCGGGGGGGAACCGGAAGCGCCGACCGCGGGTGGGGTGGGAGGGTGTGGGTGCCGCGAACGAGCACATATAGACGATCGGCGGGCTATGGAGCCGCTGATCGCCTATATGTGAAACACCCGGTACCGGGTGTTCGCATTGGACGGGTCTTTTCTGCCCGTGCGTGCCCGCTAGGGGGCGCGCGCGAGCAGAAAAAAATTGCCGTCTGGAGACGGCAACCCGCAAATGCAGCAGTGCCGTCCGTCCGTTTTTTTACTACGGGCGGACGGCAAGAGGTTAATACTACTTAAATAGGGCCTGCTATCAGCTCTCCCAATCCTCTCTACAGCAGCTCTCAGACTAGGAGAAGCAGCACAAGGAGGCAATTAGTGGTCATATTCCAGCATGGAGCATGCTGGTAGGAGAATATAGCAGTGTGCCAGACAGGGGGATGAGCTCATCAGTGTTCTTTCACTGTCTAGCCATAGATTGGGGAGGGACAAGACCTGGAAGTGTTTATTAACTTCAGCAGTGAAAAATCAGGTCTCCTGTCATGGGGGGGGATTCCTTTGCCAAAAAACCATAACCCATCTATGAGTTTTATTTGTGTGTTTAGCTGTTTCCCTGGAGGGCCGGCTTTATACCTTTTGCTGCCACCGAGACGGCACAAATAATAATCAACATAACGAACATGCAGGAAATGCATTTATAAAGGTGCGTTTTAGCTAGAAAACACCTTGGACTCGGGTGGCGAACTTTCAATACACCGAGCAGCAGCAGCACGGTCCACTGATTCTGAACCTGGACAGAGTGCAGCTTATTTGCTTTGCCCATCAGTTAGCAGCCGGACTTCTGATCCAGCACACTGCCTCTGGAACTTCATTTATCCCTGCCTTACCGTGCGGCCGCACTCGCAAGGGAAACCCTCGGGTCATTCCAAATGTGGAGAAATATTCCCACCCCCGTCGGTTGACGTTAATCCGGACGGGAAATAAGAGAAACCATGCGATCTTTAAAAGCACAATGAAAACAACTGCTGGGATTGCAAATCATTATATGGATATGCTCCATTAAAACATCCTATTTACATCCAACACAGAATCTCAGATGGACTCTCACTCTGGGGCCACATATGAAGTGTGTAACCCTGCTGTGTGTTGATACAATTGTATCTGCTATTTCCATATAGCACATCTACTTATACCAGTGACTGGCTGTTAGTTTGGTGGTTAATTAACTCCGACTGTCCTGTCCAATACTTGGGCTATTCAAGGGAAGCCTTTTAAAGATTTTAAATGTTGTGTATTAGGTGATTTATGATTTGTACTACTTCCATGTTAATAAAAAATACTATTTTTGATACATTATATACTCATTGAGTTACTTGTTCAGCTGACAGCTCCTAATGTGGGATTTCTTTGCTAAGGGGATAGTGTTGTTTTGATTACATGTTTTGAAACCCAGGAGCTGAATTCATATAGTTTATACATTTGTTACTTATTGCAAAACTCCTTCTCCCCTGTTTGTTTATATAGCTTTCCCTTCACGCAGTGCTGAGGCTGCAGAAAAAGAGATTGAGGACTCTGTGGCCTCAAGTTTATTTTTCAATTTCAAAAAGGAAATGTCAGGGATCTGTTTAGACCCCTAATATTTAAGAGAAAGCCCCCCAACAGTAAAATATAAAAACACAACTCCCCCAGATAACACACGTGCACCATATTGTGGTGTACACCATGCACATGTGCTGCAGTGCATTGTTAGAACACATCGCAGCGCTTGATTTTTTTTATTTTTAAAATAACATTAATTTAACTGTGTGGCAGCGCATGGCAAAGCTTTGTGACGCATTGCCGTGCGTTGTGATACGCTGTGTTGCGATGAAATGTACGTCTATCATTTTATTACAACACAAACATCAGCACAGCGCACAAACGATTTTTAACTTAAGTTGCTTATTTACAGTTCTCCATTACTTCATTTTTTTACTGTTTCGCAAAGAGTCGCAATTTACAAATATTTCTTAACTCAATAGGTTTTATCTTTTAGATTTGGTCGGAAATTATTTTTGTTGTGCACGGATACTGATTTTAGTGCTTTTATTAATGTAGTTGTGTATTTTTATCGGTCTCATATTGTATATATGGCTTGGGGGACTCTTACAAACGCTAGCAGCGCAGCAATGTAACATTAAAACAATGGGAGAAATGTAAAAAATAGTGTGGCCAGCTGAGGCTAAAAAGCTTCTGGAGGGCTTGGCAGGGAAAGGGTTAAAAGAGAACTATGGGGTAAGTGTTTTCCCCCATAGTTCTCCTCAGGGTCACGGGAGGACATAAACTAGCGTCCTCCCGTGACCCAAAGCTCAGTATATCGCGAGCTATTGAGCGCTGTATACGAAGACTGCGCAGCTGGGACGGATCCCGGCATTACTGTCTGGATCCGCCCAGCTGCGTGAGTGACAGCTGGCT